AAGAAAAGCGCAGAACGCTTCCTAGCTTTCTGTAATACTTCTTCTATGTGTGCCTTTTCATGAAGATTGAGATCATCTAAACCAAGTGATTTATAGCTGATCGATTCCCTGAAATAGATGTTTGAAACTGAACTTTAATATAACCCAGGGCAATAGTTTTTTTTTGCAGCACCATTTTTTCTGGCCTGCTAAAATGGCCATCAGGATTAGAGAATTATGTGAATATTAAGCCTTTTTGACCACTATGTTATTGGTCTATGTTTATATTTTGCCGACTATGTTTTTTAACATTTTACTATTGCCAGAGTCAGAGTCAGGGACTGTGATGCATAAATGTATAAAGCGATAATTTAAGCAATATTCCATAATTTTATTCTAACAGCATTTACTATTTCTCATTGGTGCTTATGGTAGTTAATAATAGGACAAGATTCTTTCACCAGAGATTTACATTGGAATAGAAGTTCATGGTCCCCATTATCACCCAGATTCCACTGTTAACAACAATATATGAGTGGGAACCTATGCTAATTGATTATAGTCCAAACAATATACCACACGGCCACTATACTATTGCTAATTACTAGCTGCTAACTATTGACTAGATTCGTGAACTTTATGAGATACTTATGATACTTATAATATTCATGCTGGATTGAAAAATACTACTTCAGTCATCAAAAATAAAAATTTTACCTCGAGATCGAGGAATGATGAAATTTTTAATTTTTCTCGTTTTTCTAAGATCGTACATTATTTTTGGTTTGGCTCATCTTATTGACTTTTCAGACAAGAAAATTTTGCTAGAGAGCCAATTGGCAAAATCAAAGTACAGATGGATCGCCAAGATAACCCGATTTTTGAAAGATAGAATTGGGACCGCAGCGTCGCCTTTATGACAGCAACTATCCATTGAGCTATTCTACTCCACAATAAATATTTTAAATATTAAATAAGATTAACATAAAACGTGAATAAATTTGGTAAATTTTTGCTATAAAGGAAAATTAACTGGCTTTAAATAGTTGCTCATTTAAATGAAAAGAATCAATTCAGTAAAATATTTATATAAATAGTTATTATTAATCAATACCTTCTCGATGTTGATGGTGACGATTGATGACTTCTTGATTGAGCTGTGTGCAAAACCTATATTAATCAGAAAAAATTTACGAAATATTCATATTTTTTTAAGATTTGCTGCTGTCGAAATTCAAATTTGAAACCCCAAAAAATTTTTGTGCAATTTTAAATAGGCATTTCGATAGGTTATAATCCCTTTTCTTACAAGTGAAAATCGTTTGAACCATAAACATGCTTAATCTGTGATAAAATTAATATAAATTAAAATTAATATTTTATTATAATAGTATTTATATTAAAAATGAAAATTTTGCATATAAAAATTCCATAAACATGTCACTTCTGTGCGTATGGGTTACCTAGAATTACCAGAAACGTGGGAGAGAGGTAAGGCAGATAAGCTTTCGGAAGATTTTGTTCGGAAAAAACCCTGTCGGAAAGGCAAGAGAGGTTAACTGCGATTCGAACAGCTATTGTTATATTCGTTACATTCCATATGCTTTCCATATTAATTGTCCACCTTAGCAACTGTGCTATTCCAGCAAATATATGTACATATATATATATTCCCTCTCAATTCGAATTTAATAAATATAAATATATATATATATTTATATTTATTGAAAAGCCAGCCAAGCGGGGTTACAAATGCCATGTTCTTTTATTAATAAAAGCAGCTAAAATAACAAATAATAATGAATGATAAAAAGAAAGAAAAAGAAAATATGACAAAAATTAATAGTTTAAAGAGGAAATTGCAGAATAATATAATGCAGTACAATTCGAACTAACTCTTTATAGATAATCGGATGGAAAAAATCGAGATTTCACACTTCCTGCACGATGTGAACTTTTAAATAATATGATATTATCTAATCTTTTTTTAATGATAGCTAAGGATAACGCACAAGCTATATCGTAATTTATTCTAGTAATTAATAGTACGAATAAAGAAATCATGACTCCTTACTTTAGTTTTACACATAGGTAATTATTAGTAATTTTAACGCATTAGTTCTTGTTGGATTCAAATTTAGCCTAAAATTATAATATTTTGAACAATCTAGTTTAACATAACCATACAGAATCTTATAAGTATAAATTAAATCTTGTTTAAAATAAATTAAATTCGAATTGAGAGGGAATCTAGGTCGTATTGTTGAAGTTATCTTTTATAATCGATATTAGGAGAGAGGAGAAGTATAAAGTATAAAGGAGAAATATTTCTGGAGTTTTTCAATTATTTTACTTGATTTGAGGTATCTCGGGGAGTAACAGGTAATCAAAAAGAGACCGAATCAACGCTTTGCACATTTTGGTAAGAAAATCTTCAGTTTTATTCTTAAACGAACGAAAAATAAAATTTAGTATGTTTGAGGAGTTCTTTACCTTGGTTCTGCATGAAGATCGAACTCGAGATTTTCATCCACGATTATTCCAAGATGTGTGAGACTATTCTAATTATATAAGCATCAATAAAAAGATTAGGAAAATCGGATCCTTTAGAATTGATATGAAGAACGCTACTTTTGAATAGAAATGGTAATTTGTCTGTCATATAGCCAGTTGGCTATTCTGTTGAGCTTCTCCTGCAGTAGAGATAGGCTATCCGCTCTACCATGAGAATAACAAATTTTACAGTCTTCAGCATAAAGATAAATGGTAGAATTTAGTACCACTTTACGGGAACTTTTTAAGCATTCTTTATATACAGAGAGGTCATTTGACAATTTGGTTTTTCTATTTCTCAAGCGAGGTATATTGTAAAGCTTCTTGACACTTTTTAAAGAGATTTTAAAAAAATGCGAATTGACTTAACCTTTTTTTTCTTAATGGGATATATTGCTCTATAAAATGCTATAAAGAAAATTAACTTTTTCATCAATAGAGGGAATTAGGCAAAATATCCCAGTTTCCCAAATCGCAGTTTATTTCTGCGAGAATAAATTCATAGTTTCATAATCGCAATAACGGTAATTTCTAGAAAGTCTCAAGCGAGGTATATAATGGTCTAATTTTAATGAAGCATGAATGATATTGTGATCATTATTACAAAAAGGCTCCAAGATTTTAATGTTATCAACAGAGATATAGAAATAGCTAACAACATCTAATATAGTGTTATACCTAGTGGTAATCTTAACGTATTGCTCTAGGCCTATATACTTATAAAAGGTTTAGAAAGTCCTCTTCAAATTTGCTGCTATTTTTCAAGCAACTTTTCCCAATCTATATTTGGCATATTAAGATCACCAACAATTACATAATCGGCACCAAATAATTTTAATTTGAATAACAGGTTGTAAAAATCCCTAGTGAATTCATTTCCATAGCCAAGTGGGCAGCACAGATTTATATCTATTATTAAGATAAATTTTAAGCCATTCATTAGAGATTCAAAAAACGAACGAACATAATCATCAAAAGTTACAAATTTATAATCAGGAATAAGCCTACCTCCGCTATTTTTAAACTATTTATCATTCAGCTCTTTTGTGATACTAAAAAGCTGTCGAAATTTAATTCCCGATTATCAATAGAATCATCCAACTATATTTCATTGATACCGAAAATACTATTTGGGTTGTCAATTAGTAACAGCTGTAGGTCATAAAGTTCATATTTTAATCTTCTTGTATTAAATATATAAAGATAAATACTTTTCATGTTATTAACCCTACTTGGCAAATTGTCCTAAGCTGATATAGAAAAAGTTGGAATTGAAAATTATTTGTCGTTACGAACGATTGGCGAGGCTGCCTGAGTTCCACTATTTGAAGGTTTCTGACGACACACTTCTTCAGATTGAGGCTCTAATTTTGGATATAACATTCTTTACGGAACTGTTTGCCTAGCAATAGTTCTCTTTTCGTTAAACCCTTCTGCAAAAAATTTCCATGGGGAACAATCGACATCCTTGTTATGCAAAACAGACATAGCCATGTGCTAATCTTCGAAAAGTACTCGTGGCCTACCTGACCCCTTTCTTCCATGTCGACGAACTTCCTTAGTGTCAATCTTGGTCCCAGCGGCAGTTACAATATTCTCTGCCAAGAGCTCATCGGCACTAATCTCATAGGTTTGTTTATACCAACTAGACATGAAATTTATTCCTTTTCTTCGAAATATTCATCGATAGTTTTCAATCTTTGCTCAGATGAAATTTTTGGATGCTCAAATTTGTTGCCACCCAAAGACGAAGCTTTTAAATATTAATATCATTATTAAGTCCTTCGTTGACTAGTTGATCTTTGTATGTATTTCGAGAGATCTGGTTAAATGCAAAATTAGATCTTGCTATTTTTCACATTATTCAGTAACGAATGTAATTGTAATTTCAGATCCTTTATTTAAGCATTATTATTGAAAACGACCTCTTTAGTTGCTATTTTTTTCGGTGCCATTTGCAATTTCCTTTTATCTTACAAGTGCCTTGTATAAAACGATAAGAACAATATACTTTTGGAAAGAATTTTTAGAAAAATGTTCTCTAATAAGAATTAATGTACTTCTAATCTTTTACCGAAACACAATAAAATATAATAAAAATGATAAATGATAAATTAAATTATTGATGAATAGAATGACCGACACAACTGCTCACGAGAATAGTAAATATTAAATAAATGTCATTATAATATCTATATTAATTTGTATTTTATATTCATGTTATTTCATTTGAACTTAAACATTCTAACATTTAATAAAACTTTAAATTTAAGTGCTTCAAAGGAAAATAATAAGGTTTTAGAAGTGTAAAGAGGGAAAGTTCGTATTTCACACAATACATAGGGAATTCAAAACGAAAGATTTGTATTCAAACCAGAGAGTAATGACCAGATGGAAATGAAAGATTTCTTGAAAAAAATTTAATTTAGATACTAAATTTAATAAAAAAATTTAAATATTTAAAATGTTCAGAAATAAAAATTGACCTTAATAATATGTTCTTTTTCTGTGGCTGAGAGGCCAACCAAAGCAGTCTCAGGTACTTTATATTCAGAGTTGTTACTTGAAACTCCAGACGCACGTCGAACCAGGTCGATAAAATCACTACGAGTATCTGAGCATATGCGACATGAAGAATCACCACTCTTCCTGCTAGTATTTAGATTCGAAATATAAGAAAATGGCAAAAATTTGCTATCGTCGCGGAAACTAAAAGCAGAGAACCAGGAAGGGCTATTCGTTTCAGGTTCACTGACATTCAATGTTTTTTCAAAGAATGGAGTTGATTCGCGGCCATCGCTAAAAAAGAAATGGACCAATTAGTTAATCTTTTCCTATTCTAGAAAAAATAATACGGAATTAAAATTGAACCTACCTATATAAAAGAGCAAATCAAGCGGTATAGGAAAAACACAAATTTCCTGTGAATCTCATGACTTTCACAAGGATATTACGTAAAAAGAAAATGAAATTTTCGACAAAAGCAAAAAACTTATTCAAGTGTAAGAAGAAAAATAAAAGTAAAATAAAATCGAAAGCATAAAATCTTACGCGTCGTAAAATTCTGATGAGATTTCTTGGTGGAAACCATTTACAAGACTTTGAGTGAAATAAATAGCTCGAGGATTCATATCCGATTTGAATTTCTTTATTAAATCGGTAGCAGCTAATTCCGCGATTTTTTCGGTAAACCGTTCCGCAAAGAAATTCAATCGAATTAAAAAGTCTGCATGAAAAAGTAATGAACCATCACCACGAATACTTTCGCGCTCGCAAACCTCGAAAGCATTCAATAGCGTTCGAGTATTTGTTGGTGCACCAGCCTGCGACAATGCAAGACTGAAACCATTGACAGTATGTGATCGTTTCAAAGTACCAAACGTTATGTGAGGCCAAGAAGCTACCTCAGGGAATGATGAACAACGAAATTTCGCTGTGTTTGTATCTCCAACAAGGAAATATAAACCAGCATTTCCCTCAAAAACAACTTTGTGCTGAGACTTTTCCAGGGAATGACGCCATCGTTCACAAAGGCCAACAATTTTGCCACATTCAGATTCACTATGAATAACATCGTAATTTTTTTCACGGGCCATTTTCTCGAATGAACTTTGTTCAGCCAACATCCTCACATATTCAAAATGCGCAA